AAGAAGGAAAGAAAGAAGGAAAGAAAGAAGGAAAGAAAGAAGGAAAGGAAAAGTGTTCTGTTACTCTTAATTATAAAACTCTTTGGGAATATTTTTTTCAGATTGTTCAAAACAAGCATAGATAAAAATTTTCACTTCTAAGATAGTTAAAAGGTATATGCTATTCCAAAACAATCAGTGTTCTCAAGCATATGTAATTTTTTTTTTTTTTTTATACGAAAGTAGTGATCTGTTCCAATTCTGTTTTCAGAACTGCTTACATTTGTATGACTATAACAAACGGGAAAAGTTAATATATATTTTCTAATTGCAAGGTTAAAACTTAATTCATTCTAGTCAGTGGCATAGTATTTATCTGCATTTGTAACAAACTCAGGAGTCTTAAAGATGCACATAAATTTTGTGATTTTTCTCTTGTTATACATACTCACAAAATACTGAATTCTGTAGTTAACTGCATAACATTTTAAACTGTAGCTCAGTGTCTGCATAATTATTTTTAGAGATACATGCATCTCTCAAGCTACTAAAGTTAGGTCTTCGATACACAGAGCAGTACACAGAAGAACTGAAACAATTCTGTTGTTCCTTGGACTAGATTCCTGCACTGATTCAGTGATTCACTACAGAATTTTAGCTGTGTAAAAACTTTGAGGCACAGAAAAATATATATATATATACTTCTAAATCTCAGTTTTACTTTTAAGAAATTGCTTGATCATTAATCTGAATAGTGCTACATTGTCTTGTATCATAGAACAGCCTGGATTGAAAGGACCACAATGATTATCTAATTTCAAACCCCCTGCTATGTGCAGGGTCGCCAACCACCAGACCAGGCTGCCCAGAGCCACATCCAGCCTGGCCTTGAATGCCTCCTGGGATGGAGCATCCACAACCTCCTTGGGCAACCTGTTTCAGTACATCACCACTCTCTGTGTGAAAAACTTCCTCCTGATATCTAATCTAAACCTCCCTTGTCTCAATTTAAGACCATTCCTCCTTGTGCTATCACTATCCACCCTCGTAAACAGTCGTAGTCCCTCCTGTTTATATATTCCCTCCAAGTATTGGAAGGCCAAAAGGAGGTCTCCCCAGATTCTTCTCTAGTCTTTGTAGTGTGAAAGGTCAAACATTTCTCAGGTATGGAAGCAGCTCCAAATGTTTTATTGGAAAGTAATCTGCACAAAGAAAACCGCTGCACTTGTTTTAAAAAAACGTCTTCTTAACATTTTTAATTTTCTAAGGTTAATTCGCCTCTGGATAAATATCAGACTGTTTTGCTGAAGTAAACAGTCAACCTAATCACCCTTCTAATATGATAGCAAAAGCATATGAAAATATCATGTTTTGCAAGCATATTATGCTAGAAGAAATAAACAAAAGCTTCTATCAAGTTCTTCAGTTCATGAATATTGAAGTCATATAGTTGTCAAAATATGAACACAGTGTACTTATCCACTGTTGGAAATTCAGTAGTAGCAATGTATTTGTGTAATAGTCTCACCAGGCAACGATCTCATGCAATCCTTTGAATTACAGAGCATTATCAGGTGTAGATCAGATGTACTTAAGTCTGGTTTTTGCCAGGTTTTTTTTATTTCCTGGAAACCGATAGAGAACTGAAGTGTGGTGTGACCCAAGTAATTAAAAATACCACTGACTAAATCAAAAGGCTGCTGCTGATAGTCAAAATTGAGAGAAAAAAATACACTGATTGTAGCAAAATTGCCATTTTAATCTTCTGACATACCAAAAAAGACTGCATCACAGTCAGTGAACATATCTACCACCTTTACTTGAGTAAAGCTTTGGGAACAGCTGGGCAGATTACAGTCTCAGCAAACACTGACATTTTATCAGATCGATATACATTTGAAGTACAAACACTATAAAATTTCATAGTTGTAATATCTTCCAGATAGACAACATCTCATAAAACCCTTTAGCTTTTATACCTACCAACCTGATCTAACCGACATCAAAACTGTTTTTCTGTATTCTAGGTAAACAGAGTTCAAAAGACCAGTAAATTCAAAAAATAGTAATGACTTAAACTGAAAGCATGATCGCAAGTTGAACTCAACTAACTCATTTTCCACTTCAGAAAAAATATATCATACAGGACAGACAGAACAAACATCTATTGATCACTCTCTGTGGTGGCAAGAAACTAATAAAAATTAGGTCAGCAAATATGCACTTTTTCATGGAAAAATGTAATATCCAGGTATATTTTCTGAGGATATAGTTAACATATCATAGAATCAGAGTATCAAAGACACATAGCATGGCTTGGGTTATAAGAAACCTTTTAAAGATAATCTTGTCCTAACCTCCCTGCCATGGGCAGGGTTGTTACCCACTAGGTTGCTCAGGACCCCATTCAATTTGGCCTAAAATACCTTTAGGGACAGAACATCCTCAGTTTCTCTGAGCAACCTGTTCCAGTGTCTAAAATAGGGCAAAGCTGCACTTATATCAGAATATATACAAAAAGTGTAAGCATAAGTAGTACGTGCCATTTCTAATCCAAAAATTCAGGATTTGTGCATAATACGAGAAAGATAATTGAGACTACAATTTATTACTAGAAGAAATAGGATACATAAAGTCACTGTGATACTTACCACTGTGAAATTCATGACCTTCAAAATCCATATTGTCATTGCTAAGTTAACAATCATGGTAACCAACAGCAGAAGTACAAAGAAGTATAAGCACCTCTTTCGCCATCCATAAATCCCTACTGGGTAAAATTGAGGATTTTCAGTCCTTGCAAGGCTGTTCTGTTGTGTTGCTAAAATATACTGCTCTCGTGTCATCTGGAAAAAAAAAAAAGAAAAAAAGAAGAAGAAAAAAAAAAAGATAAGTAACAATGAGAGCCCTATATTTTACAGATTTTATTACATGAAGATTATCTGAGAACATACAGCAATCAATTTCTACGGGAACGGAAGGGATGCCTTAATTTGGAATAAGCCATATAAATATCAACTAAGTACTTAGTAAAAATCTGGTGTTTTTCACTACTTATGCCCCAAAATTGTAAAAAATACTTAAGTATTTCATGTCTTATAATCTACTTCTGAAGACCATTTCAATGTTCTTCTTGAGGTCATTCAGAAAAAAATTGTTTTGTAGAAATAAATCATGGGACACTCATAAAAGAAAATTCTATTTCCAGAAATGTTTATCATAAATTATCACTCTTTTATAGTAATCAATAAATAAATGTAATAACTAATACTATCATATATGCTTACATATGTTATGCATGTTTTTTAAGAAGTATGCCATTGTATATACAATATTTTACAAAAGGAGAGACAAGAAAACCCTACTAAGCTTTAATTTTCTTTTAAGATACAGAAAATACAGATACCAACAACTTCTGCCTTTGCTTTTTGTTTTTGTTTTTTTTTGTGGGGCTTTTTTTTGGTGAGCCTAAAGTCTTCTAACAAAACAACAAGCAATAACTGCTTACAAACAACTTAAATCTTAATACTACATCTTCTTCACAGCACAAATGTTTAAAGCATTTAATAAGAAACCATGTTACACTTTCTTAACCTTTTTTCTTTCTCATCATCAACTTTCTTTTGTTGAATTTCCGAAACACTAGAAGAGCAAATATGTTACTTCAGTACTTTAAAAAATGAACTGCATGAACCTTGTTAAACTGTGCAATATGACAAGAATATAAAAAACTGTTCACACAAAAAAAGCCTAGAATTCTGATCGATGCATTACATATATAATTTATTTATAGATAGATAGATTCACATGTATTTAATGATATTTATAAAGGTAAAATACAGTAGATACAAAATGAACTCTGACAATATTAATTGACACAAGAGGCTCTCAAATAAACAAATATAGTTTAAGTGCTCCCTCAATTTTTACTATCTTAAGCTTCTAAATTGAAGGTGCACATATTGCTTGAGTAGTCTAGATGCATATGATATAAAATAAAAAAATAATTCCAGTGGTATCATAACTAGTAAGAATTCAAATTCAATTAATATACATGAGATACATATTTCAGTAAGAAATTAAATAAATTCTTATACTGCCCTGAATAAGTATCAAAAACAATGCAAAAGAAAGGATTGCAGCTCTGTAAACTATTTAATCACATCACAGCTGAATATTTAGCAACTTTTAATTATCATCTTCAGCTACTCCCATGTTTTTTGATCTTTTTCAGTATCACAACAAACAAAAAAACTGATTGATCATATGATGTGAAACCTAAATTACAGTCATGCTGATGATCTTGGCTATTGACATTTTGGAGCCACCACATGCTACTGGAATAGATACCTTAGATGAAAATAATTAGTGAACACAGAAGATCTATTTTACATTTTCAAACTTTGTTTTACTTTTTGGGAAAGTTATTATGACATTATGTCTTACAGAGGCAATCTTTCAAAGAAAAAAAAAAAAAGACCAGCAAAATACACAGAGAAGATAAGGAGCAAATAAACTAGACAATGAGATTGTTGGTATAATTGTTGAAGTTAGGATAACAACTACTTAACAAGTCTTAATAAAAAACATTTAGAACATGATTATACTTTGCAAATAATTCTCTAGACAAACACAAGTTTGTCTTAATAGCCAACATTTCTTTTCTAATGCCTGAAAAAAAAAACAGATTCAAAACTAAGGAAAGAAAAAAAAGATCACTGTTCTTAATTACAAATTTGTTAGTCTAACACATAAAAACAATCCAGTATTTGCTCTTAGTGACGGGGGAATTAATTACACCTGTGGCTTGTTAATTATCTGAGAATAAAGCCATATCTTTTTTTTTTTTTTTTTGAGGTCAAAAAAGAATCTAGCTCTCAAATCAGCTCAACACATACTCCAAAATGGATTCCGTTCATCCCGAATTTTTGAAAAAGTCACTCAAGAATACAAAAGTGTTGAAAGCTGTTTTTTTGTCGGTTTGCTCATGAAGTGAAAAATACAAAGGAGGAGGAGTAAAAGACACATTTAGAGAGAACAATCTTAAACTGTAGAAATGGAGTGTCAAACAGACAACAGAAACAGCAGAGGTTATTAGAGAACATTTACAAATGTTCATATAACTTATGCCTGTTTGTAAATCAGACAATCTAATAAAAGAGTGGTGTTTCTGTGAGAATGGGGGAAGGTAGGTGGAAAGAAAAACTTGTTAATAAATGATTTGCAAGCATGATAATGTTTTTCAGAACTCAAACAAGCGTTCTTCTTTCATACTCTGGGATTACTATTTCAAATTTGCTTTTCAAGCAGGTAAAGCTCTTTACTAACAAGATCTGTCAGCATTATTGAACGTGTAAGTACAAGCTGAGGAGGGAGAGGAAAAAATGTTCCTATGGACTAAGCTAAATCTGTAAAAAATACTGAAGGATTGAATTATTTAACACGCATTCCACTACCATTCTATTCAATTTGGCATCTCTTTCTGTGTTTTGTTTTGTTGCTTTTATTGTCGTTGTTTGAAGCAATATAAATTTGAGGGCACTACAAACAGAGCAGGTCTAAAGTTAATTCTTCTAGTTCATGATCCCTATTTCCCTTTAGTTTTCTGATAAGCCTAAATTGCACGTCTCAAGAGTCCCACAAACCCCAAAGCAAATGCTGTAATTTGGATTGCTTAAGAGACAGAAAGTTCTCTAATCTGACCCAGATTTTCTGCTAGTGTCAGTTAATAGAATTCACTTGGCAGTCATTCCTATTAAACAAGCCTTTATACTCCTATCTTTGAGAAAAGAATTATTCAGTAGCAGGTTAAAAAAAGTGTTTTAAAAAGCCTCCTGCATTCCCAAGAGTGTAGAACTGAATTAACAATTATACTGAATGTTTGAAACATCAGTACAATGATCAGAACTAGTTTGAAATTTTCAGTGAAGACTGCTTTTATTGAAAGCAGTGGAATTTATCCATTTGATAAACTCCCAATAAAACAGGAGACGAAATGTCACCAGACACTGACAAATATGTTGGATGACTGATAAAATTATTCCCTCTTCCTTTCTTTAGTCCTTTCTATAGAGCTTACAACATTTTTAAACATTCGACATTAGGAATTCCAACACGTTTTATTTGCTATATTTACATTTTAAACAAAAATAAAGCATGACGTGTCTTACATTTTTATTGTTTTGAGAAATCAAATTTTTATCATATTTTTAAACAGGAATTATCAAGCATATACCATATCAAGAAGTGCGTCTCTAGGAATTATTTAATGCTTCTATTATAAATTGAAATTGTTTATTAAAACTACAAGTAGTTTTTGTCTCTCAAAAAATATTATAACACCAATTATTTAGCTACATTTCAAAAACTTAATACTCATACCATGGAGTAAAAAAGTTAAAAACCAGTATGAATTTTGTTACCTCAATTACTGTAATTGTAGCCAGTCACATGACTGGTTTGAAGTAACTCCACTACTGATTAATTCTCTGTGTTATTTTCTGAATTCATGGACATGCTGAAAACTTTTTACAGGAACTCTAAAATATACAAATACAGTACAACCATGACTGGATCCAGTCATGTTACTCTGTTGTAAGGAATGTATTAGCAATCAAATAACATACAAATAAAGAGAAGGAAAAAAAAAAGTATAGCACAGAGTTAGAAGGGAAAAATCTACATGTCAGAGTTGAGAGAGGAAAAAAAGGTACCAAAAGGAGATTGCTTAATCAGCCACAACTCAGGACATCATATAGACAAATTTATCAGAACCAGCTGGTTCCTCCCACTCATCCTGACAGTGACATAGCATAAGATCACCAATTCATGATGTGTCCACCTCTCCCTTTTTGTTACACTACAGCCTGTCATTCATTGTTTCCATTCTACACATATGAGACATTAACTACGATTACAATTGAAATATTACTTCATTGTTTTCTTTACAGATTTCATCTGGAAGTTGACCGTTTATAGTGAAAAATGTACTGTAACATTTATTAAACAGTAAATACACAAATACCTAGTATGTGCACACCCAATTCTAACACTAAAATAGTCAGATGTAACCAATAAGACACATATTATAACAGTAAATAAGAAGGTGATAAGAGAGCGCCTTGAATTTCTGAAAAAGTCTCTACAAACGGTAGAACGGATTTCCTCGTAAAGCTTTCTAAATCTCTTAAGATCTATAGAGAGCTCTTGCTATCACTTTCAAAACATGCTGAAGAAGCTAATATGTTTCTTCTACAAGACTATGGTATGCTACAATTGATATCTTAAAAAAAAGTCTACAAAAAACAGGATGATAATCATTGTGGCTAGTGGGGATCATACTAAAAATTGTGAATAGACTGACAAGGCAGTACACCTGCACTCCTAGGGAGCTAAATATTGGAAGGAGAGAGCAACTTCCTTTGAAAAGATTTGCAAAATCTATCAGATACTCAGGAGATCCTGAAGGCACCCAAAAGTATGTCAGCAACTGACCCAGATATAAATGGTCCATCTGAGACACGAATGGCTGGCTCCATACGATAACAGTCACATCAGTTTCGTACACATCACTAGCAAAATATAATATTGTAAATCCTTATTATCCTGATAGACAATTTTGTATTTACCAATGTTACTGTTTCTTTTGTTTTGTATTTCTTTGTTCTTGTTCATCAGGATCAATTACAAACAACTTCTACAACAACTCAGAAGGATTTAAAGAGTGTGATCTTCCTGAAAACCACAATAGATTACGTCCCAGAACAACAGAACGGTTGAAGTTAGAATGGCCCATCTGGAGATACACCCATCATGTCCAAAAACCTTTAAATAACCCAAAAGATGA